AGGAGCCTGTGGGTGTTTTCAGGCTAGGACTGAAGCTCCCAACCGCTCCTTTTTTTCTTTTTCTTTTTTTTTAATTTTTTTATTCTGGGCCAGCTTTAGCTCTGAGGCCTCAGCTGCTGAAAACAGGTTTCTGACCTTTGTTTTTGATACAATGTTGCGGTCCGGCTGGCTGAAGCCCCACTGGGAACGTTGGAGTCCTCCCTCACTGAAGCAAGCAAGCCTCCCTGTTTGCATCAGCTGCCTGGCTGCTGGCTGCCAGTTAATTTGCATATCTCGCTGATTAGCCAACGGGAAGGGTAGCGGTCGTACTCCAATTACCATGTTTCTCTTTTATTAGTGTAGATTATTTTAATCTATATCCTAAAATTTTTTGTTGTTTTTTCTTGGTTTTTGCAATTCTGAGGAAGGAATTTTAATTTACCAGAATGACTATTGTTTTGTTAGGTTTTTCTTTTATTTCTAATAGCTTTTATTTTTTTATACTTGGATGCTATGTTGATTGGTGCTGCAATGTAAAAGCCACTTAACTTCTTTGTACATAAGTCCCATCATTAATTTATAAAATTAGCTCTTTTGTTCTAAGGCATTTTGATATGAATTCTGATTTGTCTTATTATTACCATTGCTATTTTATTTTGTCACATTTTCCTGGTAAATCTTTGACCATCTCCTTATTTTAAATATTTTTGGATTAGGTTTTAGTTTTGTGTCCCATAAGTGTAAAAAACTTTTCAAGAGAGGGACTTTATTTTTAATATAACAATTGAATCTGTTTATATTTATTAGAGTTTTAATTCCTACTTCTCTAATTATTAGAGAACTTGAACATTTAAAAATCTATTTATTGTTGATTTGTGAATTTTTAGTTATGTTTTTTGTTCATAGGTCCTAAATAAATTATGCAAGAAATGAGTAATCCTTTGTATATACTTTATTTGTTTTCACTTATAGTTTCAATATGAAGATAGTTAAGATTTTTAAGAGGTCAAACTATTGACCTCTGTTTTTTGTGATTTATGTTACATTTATTCTTAAAGTGTTGTTTCCTTTGTAAAGCTTACGTAAATATTCATCTGGTAATTATAAATATATTTCTCTAAACTTTCGATTATTTGCAATATCCCAATACCTAGAATACTGCCTAGAATACTTAATAGGTACTCAGATTATATTTTTTCTTTATTGTATTAATTTATAATCCTTCTAAAACATCTGAAACATTTATTTAATACATTTCATATTTCTTTTGATATAAAGAGAGGACAGTTCCCCCCCAGACTCCCAATCTAGTTAGTTTTTTCCTTTGCTACTTGCTGGATAATCTTTTTCTTCCCTCTTTATTTGTTACTATTCTTTGTAGCAGGGTACAGGGAAAAAAGGAGACTTTGAAGGCAGATAGACCTGAATTCAAATCTTAGCTTTGTCATTCACTTAAGTTTCTCCTCTTAGGGGGATAATATATGCTTGCTCAACAGTGCTGTCCTAGGATTAACAATTATGCATATGTAAGGTTCTAATCATAATGATTGAAACAATGTAAATAATCAGAACAATGAATTTTACTGCTGTTTATTAAGCTCTAGTGTATATATTAGCACTATTTCTGAGTTATTTGTTCTATTACATTGATTTCTCTGTATATTGTTAGCATTCTTTTAAAAAAGTTTTTAATATATTTAATACAGGAATTCAGATAGTACAAGTCCTCTAACATTGCTCATAACTTTCATTCCATCTTTTCAAAGTTTATTTTTTTAAAAGCAGTTATTGCCTGTTTATTATTTCCAGTGAATTTTAGAATATTTGGAAGATAAGTTTTGATGTTGATTTGAATTAGAATTTTATTGAGCCTCTACATTAATTTGGACAAATTGACATCTTAACATTATTTAGTCACTGTCCTATTCCTTGACTTTCAATTTATTGAAATTTCTTGTATTTCTCACTTAGAGTGCTAGTTTTTCTTATAGGTATGATATTTATTATTAAAGTTATTTCTAAGTATATTTTAATATATATTTTAAATGGAATCTCCACTTCAAAGTATTATAGCAGTTATGCATGAAAACTATCAAATTTTTATATATTGTATATAATCACTTCAATAGTTGTCTTATTCATTCTAATAATTTTTGAATAGATTATTTTGGGGTTTCTAGCCTATAAATAATGATGATTTCTCATATTCTGTATAAGGATATAATTCTTATCTTGCATGTGCAGATGTATGTAAAATAGTGATGATCATTACTATTACTGTATTATATCTTATGTTTATGGAATTGTCTCTGTGATATCACCCTAAGGTTTAGATCAGTGATGGCAAACCTCTTGAGCTCGGCGTGTCAGCATTTTGAAAAACCCTAACTTAACTCTGGTGCCGTGTCACATATAGAAATTTTTTGATCTTTGCAACCATAGTAAAACAAAGACTTATATTTTTGATATTTATTTTATATATTTAAATGCCATTTAACGAAGAAAAATCAACCAAAAAAATGAGTTCGTGTATCACCTCTGTCACACGTGTCATAGGTTCGCCATCACTGGTCTAGATATATATTCTTTATCAATTAAGTATGTATTCCTGTCTCACTTTAATGTATAACTATAGAATACATAGTTGTAAAAACTTATTTTCAATATTGTGCATTTACTTGAAAACATTTCTCTTTTTTTTACAGGATGTTCAGCTAAAAGTAAAGACCTACTTGCTTGGAACTGATTTGTCTATATTCAAATATGATGATTTCATCTTTGTTTTGGATATAATCAGCAGGTAGTGTTTGAGATCTTGTCTTATTCTTTGATTCATTCAACCATGATAATTAAAGAAATCATAATTATCAAAGAAATCACGATTTCAGTGAGTTATCATGTATAACTTCTTCAGGGGAATGAAGATAATTGAGCTTTCATAATTTATTTTCTTCTGGGTTTGTATGTGAGTCTGTTTAAATATTTCTACCCTTTGGATGTTTATAAACCATAATTTTTTTGTGATCTTTAGAATTTCTTCAAACATCCAAATGTCATTATTTGTTACCTTTGAAAAGACAATCTGGACTTCTTTTTTTTTTTTTTTTAACTATAATTGGGATGTTGATGAAATTTATATAAATCTTCTTATCCAACTAGGTTGATGCAAGTTGGAGAAGAATTTTGTGGTAGCAAATCTGAAGTTTTGCAGGAGTCTATTAGAAAGCAAAGCGTCAATTATTTTAAGAACTACCACAGGTAAGAACTTTAATAAAATATGAACAGACTTATTTAGGTGTTGAGGGTACTTAGTCTGTTTCTAATTAAACTTTTAACATTAATTGGTTTAAAACAATTACTTTTGAATTTGAAAGAATATGTATGTTCTTTATAGCTGTTTTTAGATGGTTCAGGATTTTTTACCAAAACTCTTATAAAATATTTCATTACTTATTCATTGTCAGTTTTAATATAATCTTTGTCTTGAGAGTCTCAAAACATTGAGCTAATTATTGAGCTGATTTCTGTATGGGTGAAAGATGATTATTGCATCAGGGTTCACCGGAAGATTTGGCCACTGTGCTATGCCTGACTATATGTGTGAGCTAGCAAGAAAGTTAAACCAGTAGAGGCAGCCCTCAGTGAGGGTGCCTTAAAGCATCTGCCTTTTGGAAGTAAGAAGGCTTCTAGAGAAGAGGGCACAATATTCAGAGTGTAGCTACAAAGTGAAGATTATGTACTACATTACTTTGCAAAACAATCACTACTAACTTTACAGAGGGTGATTAGGAAGGGCTTTGGGAAGGGAGGAAGATGGGAAATAATGTTCATATGGCAATGTGATTGTATACTTAAAACAGCATTAAATGAGAGAGCTAACATAGAGTGTGTCCCCAAAAAATTTATACGCAATGTTTATTAAAATACATTTCATTTTCAAAATTGAGCTATCAGCTGTTAAAGTGTGTATATATTTTGGGGGCACTCTGTATATTAGATCTTGGTAGTAGCTGGACTCTGTGCTGTGTCCCTTACATACATTTTATTGCTTCAATTGAGTTCAGTCTTACTTTTTATTCTGTACTAGTAGCCTGGTGCACAAAAATCTGTGCACTGAGGTGGGGGGGTCCCTAAGTTATTAAACATTTATCGGCAAAACACTGACCAAATTGGTGGTGTTGGTGGTCTTGTCAGAATGTGTTATATGATGCAGATGAAATTCTATTTAAACAGATTTGATGTAGATATTTTCAAAGATGGAATTGTCCCTGTCAACTATTTTAGTTGATTCATATCTTCAGTAACTGTCATCATTGCAAAGTTTTCAGTCCCCATGTGGATTGCTGGATATAATAGGTCATGCGCTGTCTCTGTCCTTTGTAGCCTTTGTTACCTTAGGACTCTAGTTTTCCATTATATGTTTAAGTACCAATCTTACCAGCTTAAAAATTTAAGTTTTTAACACTCCTCTCTCTGTTCCATATCCTTCTGATGAAAAGTGGAGTTGGGTTGCAGCATAAAAGAGAAATTCAGAAGGGGAATATTGAAGTAATGACTGCAGTAGGAGAAGAGGGAACCTATTTCCCTGGCCACAGCGCTGGCACCCTGGACCACAGGGCTGGCAGCTTCTCCGGGTGGCTGCAGCCTGGGACCTCGGGCGGGTGGCTTGTCTGTCTCCTGGGCTGCAGCCAGCTGCAGGCACTGGCACCAGGACCAAAGGTGGGTGGCTTCTTCTTCTATGCTTCCAGGGAGGGCGGTCAGTTATGTGTATATGTGTGTGCATGCAAACTTTCCACCTGATGCATCATTTTGATTCCCAATATGCTGTATAGAGAAGCAGTCAGGATGCTGTCTTCCCATGAATAGTACTCAGTAACAAACCAATTTCATTTTAGTTGGGCAATGCCCCTACCCACCCTTCAAATCCCTTCCACCATGCATTTCTGTTTCCCTTTTTGTTTGTTGGATTGTTCTGCTGCTCCTTCTCCTTACCCCACCACCCTTGGTTTGTAATGTAAAATTCTTTTACCATGTCAAGAAATTATTAAAAATACAGGCACTTTGAAAAAAAATACAGGTACTTCTCTGATCACCAGCCGGGGCAGGGAAGAGGCGGCTGCTGCTGGGTTTCCAATCACCGTCAGCAGTAGGCGGCTTCTTCCGTCCTTCCCCTTTCACCTCCCAGCATTGCACCTACGTATGCAAATTAACCGCCATCTTTGTTGGTGGTTAACTGCCATCTTTGTTGGCAGATAATTTGCATATCACCCTGATTAGCCAGTGGGAAGCGTAGCGAAGGCATGATCAATTACCATGTTTGTCTATTGTTAGATAGGATTTTTACTTTTTAAAGTTCAGTTTTGATTTTATTGTTATTTGGTGCAGGGAGAGTCAGGATTTGAAATTCTGCTTTCTCTCTTTGTTTGAAGTCAACATCTGATCACAGTTGTATTTGCCATTTAGAAGAGAGATTATGAGACAGTAAACCATTGATATATTAATTATTAAATATGTTTAAGTACAAGTGTTCTCTGTTAATTGTAAACTTAAATATTTGTTTTGAAAGAAAATAAATTTAATGAGGAGAATGTTTAAAAATAAAAGTTTTAATTGGTTAAGCCCCAGGAAAACAGTGTTAAGGGAACATGAAACCCTAACACTGCCTTTATTTATAAATTTCTTTTTTTGTCAAAACTTAAGCCCTGCTAAAATAGACGGCCTGGCTTGTACACATTGCACATTGCTGTGCAAAAGAAGAGTGTCTTTTTAATCATACATAGAAGAGGACAGAGAACTCTGAAGTAGCCAGGAGCCGTACTCACTCTGTTAGAACAAAGGCCTGCTGGATGTCCATTTCCAAACAATTGGTTTATATCCAGCAGTCAACTGGAGACCTTTTGGTGTTCTTGGCACTGACTGCAAGCTGCGTGCAGTGGAAAAACTGACTTTTTTAAATGGTCTCCTTTAGTTATTCTACTTTACTTATTGTCAAAAAGACATACACATACAGGAGAAAGTAATGTGAAGACAGAGGCAGATTGTAATGTTGTGGCCATAAACCAAGTAATGGTGGCAACCACCATAAGCTGGAAGGGGCAAAAGGAATAGATTTTTCCCTAGTCTAGAGATTGTGTAGCCCTGCTGACATCTTGATTTCAAACCTCTGGCCTCCAGAACTATGGGAGATTAAGTTTCTATTGTTTTAGGTCACCTAATTTGTGGTAATTTGTTACAGCCATTGGAAACCAATGAAGAGTGGGATTGCTGGGTCATATGATAACTCTATGTTTAACATTTTGAGGAACTGCCAAACTTTTCCAAAGTGGCTACACTGTTTTACATTTCCAGAAGTACTGTATAAGGATTCTAATTTCTCCAAAACCTTGCTAACACTTGTCTGTCTCTTTGATTATAGCTATCCTGTGAGTGTGAAGTGGTATCTCATTATCGTTTGGATTTACTTTTCCCTAATGAGTGACAATGTTCAGCATCTTGTTATGTACTTATTTGTCGTTTGTATTTCTTTGTTGTTGAAATGGTGTCCAAAGCCTTTGCCTATTTTTTAGTGGCATTTTTTGTTGAATTGTAAGACTTGTAAACTTTTATAGTTTTAGTTCTTACATTGGGTCTGTGGTCCATTTTAATTAATTTTTATATATGGTGTGAGGTATGGGCACCATCACTTCAGCATGATTATGGTCTGTGCTGTTTAGTATAAAGCATTTATTAGTATTTATGATTTCATGAATTCTGTAAATTATTTCCCCGTGTTTTGTGGGGTTTTTTTTGGCATTGATATATGATTAGCTGAGGATATTTTAAGTACATGATTTAGTGAGTAGTTTTTGGTTTAGTCCCTTAATAAAAATGTCATTCTCTGTATATTATTATTATTGTGATATAGTAAAAATATTCAAAATTAAGTAAATATTTAAGTAATTTAATAAGTATAAGAGTTTTTTTTCTTTTAAGGTTGATAACATTAACAAAATAAATGTGTTATGTTGTTCTGAATGGGTTCTCAAAGTTGATTATGATCATGATGATCTTCTATAATTGTTTATATTTTATTTCATTTTTTAATTCTTGTGTATAGTATACTTCTTACTTTTTGGAGTTGTTGTTTTTTTTTTAAGAACACGGCTTGATGAACTGAGAATGTTTCTAGAGAATGAGACCTGGGAACTTTGTCCCGTTAAGTCAAATTTCAGCATTTTGCAACTTCATGTAAGTGTTTCTTAAAAACAAATAAATCTGTCTTTTATTTAATCATCCTTAATAAAAACCAACACAAATTCGTGAGAGCATATACAAAATAAATTAAAGAATAGTGTCTTTTCTTCCATAAAAGTGATTAATAGCAAGCCTCTTTTATAAGAGGGATCCTTTTTGGATGTCAAACTCTATTTTTACAAGTTCAGTTTACTGACTTCAAGAACACTCATTTGCTTAAGAAGAGTCACAATTAAAATAATTTTTTTCTTATGATTCCATAAAAATCACTTTACTTAATTTCACAGAAATTTAAACAGTTATATTTTGATGGTCATTAATGAAAATGCTTATATTTACAGAATTTTTGTCATTTCTTCAAAGGACACTAGGTTCTTAATTTATGCTGCAACTCATAAATTTGACTCTTGAGGAAATACCTCAGAAATAAAAGAGGCAAATATAAAAACCACTCTAAACTATTCTTTATTAGTTAATTGATCCCGGAATCCTTATAGAATTTGTAATCTGTGGAAGTATCTTTAAGTGATCTGATTTTTCCCTTGGTTGAAACACATTGTAGATAAATATTACTTTTGTGATAGATTTTGTACTACAAATACCAAATGTCAAGATACTGTGTATAAATTTAGAAGGTCCAATGCATTTAGTTTTTGCCTTTGGAAGGAATGGCTTTCTAGAATCAATTTTCTAATTCTGGATAAATGTAAAGAATACGTACTAACAGTTTTTTTATAGGGATAATCTTTATGCTCATGTTGTATAATAGCTTACTTGTTATCCAGTTCTATAATATTGCTTTCCTAATGTGGAAATATTAAATAACTGAAACATGTTGATTAACAACTGCTTTCAAATACAAGAAAATGAACATTAATTTTAAAAATTATTTTAGAATTCATATATTACCTTGATTCCTTAACATTATTTAAAATTCTAACATTGATTTTAGAATATCTACTTAAATAATTTTGTTTGAATTTGTGTTTAACCAGTACACACACACTTGGTATAGTTATAAGACAACTTATTTTACAAGGTACATCGAAACATGTCCATCCAAGTGAGCATTACCTTCTTTAAGTAGTTACCTTGAAGTTTCAGTTATGCAAGATGAACAAGTTTTAGAGATGAACTGTACAAGATTTCGCCTATAGTTAATACTGTTTGTGCACTTACATTTTTTTTTAACAGGATAGATCTCATGTTAAGTGTTCTAACCACAAAAAAAGTCGTTATCTTGAAACAGGGATTCTTATAGACTTGTGTGGTTTTTTAAATTGTCTCTTAATTTATAGTCACCTCTTGTTTAGAATTACAAAAATAATGGCATGATTTTTAAGCAGTATAATTCATCTGATTTAATATGTATTTGCAATTTTAAAAGACAATAAACATCATTTGAAACTTAAGCCAATGTAATTTTAAGAAGATTATCATTGAATATGAAAAAATTTAAATTTAGGATTAATACTAAAAAATTAAAAGGTATAATTCAAATATATAGTACACTTTTATTAAAAATAATCAAACCAGTAGTTTTGCAATTCAGAGGAACTTTAGGATTACGCAATATCTTCCTCTGATTAGCTGCATGATCTTCAAGTTTGCACTGTATCTCTCCAGACTGCCTCAGTTTCCTTATCTGGAGAATGCATGATTTGGACTGGGAGCTACAACTCTTGCTTTAGCATTTGTGATTCTCTCATTCTAGGTGACCCTCTTATTTTATAGATGGGAAAATTGAGGCACACAGAAGCCAGGTGACATTCCCAACATTATATAGGAAGTTAATGGAATGTAATGGGCTAATGGCAAGCTAGGACCAAAAGATTTATCATCTGACCTCAGCATGTGTGTTTGTGCTATCTGCTTTTTGGCATATGAAGAAAAATAAATGAAAAATTTATAGACAGGGATGGTATGGAGATGGAAGAGGTCATAGAAGGGATAAATGGTGTTGAAAAAATAAAGTTAATTTAAATTTAATTTAATTTTAAAAACAAGGAAAGTTTATAGACAACATTATAATAAAGATATATCTACATGCTTTGTTTCTGATGACTTTGTATAGAGCATCTTAAATGGTACAATAAGTATGCAAGGTGTTTAACTTAATAATTAGTTTTAACAAAGACTACTGATTAAAACCATATCCTATGAATGCTTTTGCTGCTATGTTAAAATTTTTAGAATTATTCAAATTTAAATTATTTTTAAAAATTTCCTGTGCAGTTACATAAAGTAAGCCAAAAGTAGCTTAATGCAGATAACACTGTTGTAAGTGATACTAGCAACTGAATTTGTCTTTAGGAAAACCTTTGACTAATGTAATTCTGAGTTTGTGCTTTGAGGCAACTTGTAGGATTTAAAAGAGAACAACCTAAAGAATCAAAATTAATTCCCCCCCCCAACTCTACATTTACAGTGATGGAATGTTTATGTTTTAGAATTTTATTGTTTCTAAAAGGTATATGGCTCCTTTTCTAATGTCTAGGAATTTAAATTCATGGAACAGTCTCGTTCCCCATCAGTTTCACCTAGTAAGCAGCCAGCCTCAACATCTTCAAAAACAGAGACCTTGTTTGAGCAGTACTGTAGTGTTGGGAATCCATTTGAAATCCATGCAAACCACAACGATGAAGAAACAGAAGATGTCCTGGCTTCTAACGGGGTAGGTGGTGTTTTTAAAACATATTGGGGAACATTAAGTGAAGTTTTCTTTTTGAAGAGTATTCTACCCATTAAACAAGGTAATTGGCTAGATTTATTTACCCATTCGCCACCCATATCCCTACCTATATACAACTTCTGTTCCTGTGATACTACTTGTACAGGTAATGGTTTTACAATATGCTTTCTTGACCTTGTCCTTTTGAATGATAAAATTTGCCTATGTTGTTCTTATTAGACTACTTTATGTTCCTACCAGATTATTAGTGGAGTGGGAGTATAGGTTCTTTATTGCACACTAGAGGCCTGGTGCACGAATTCATGTACCAGTGGGGTCCCTCAGCCTGGCCTGCGGGATCAGGCTGAAACCGGCTCTCCAACATCCCCCAAGGGGTCCCGGATTACAAAAGGGTGCAGGCCAGGCTGAGGGACCCCACCCATGAATGATCGGGGCCAGGAGGGATGCAGGAGGGCTCCAGGCATGTCTGGCCCATCTCCCTCAGTCCCGATCGGCCAGACCCCAGCAGCAAGCTAACCTACCATTCGGGGTGTCTGCCCCCTGGTGGTCAGTGCTTGTCATAGCAAGCAGTTGAGCAGCCTTAGCATATCATTAGCATATTACGCTTGGATTGGTTGAATGGATGACCAGACACTTAGCATATTAGGATTTTATTATATAGGATTTATCTGATTTGTTGGACACATGGATGTATGAGGAAATAGATCTTCTGTACTTTTTTCTCAACTCCACTCTTGGGCAACTAAGAGTGCCATTTTATTCTATGTCCTTTTCCTGATAGAGGATAATGTCTTACCTGGCAGGATTGTTTTTGTATTTGGAAGTATGATGTTTTAATAACACTTTGAGCAGCTCAAAAACAATATAGAGTAGAGGTAGTGTGAGTTTATGGAAAGTGTTTGAAGGCAAACTTTCTACTAGCTCTGTGGCCCTTGACTCTCAGTTTCTCCATAATTACAATGGGGGAATTCTTACTTCCTAGTAACCTACAGGATGTTTTCACAATGTTTCATTTAGATGGGTCCTTCTGATATTCATAATTTCCAGAGGAAAACATCATTTCCGGAGGAAAACAATATGACTTTTTTTTTTAAATATATTTTAATGATTTTTTACAGGGAGGAAGGGAGAGGGATAGAGAGTTAGAAACATCGATGGGAGAGAAACATCGATCAGCCTCCTCCTGCACACCTCCCACTGGGGATGTTGCCCGCAACCAAGGCACATGCCCTTGACCAGAATCAAATCTGGGACCTTTTAGTCCACAGGCCGACGCTCTATCCACTAAGCCAAACCGGTTAGGGCAACAGTATGACTTTTATTTTAGGTTTGATGAAGCTGAAATTGAAAACTCTTCAAATTTGACAAAAATTTGTTGAGTTATGCATATTTTAGTTTTGGCATTTTCTTTGGTGTTTAGTGAAGATGTAATTTTAAAAAATATTGCCATGAAAGTGTACCATTATCACTTTTTATCATGAAGTAGAAGTTACTCTATAGTAACTCACATTTAAAATGACAATTTATTGTTTCTTTGTGTAAATTTGCCTTGGTAAAGTAGACTAAACTGAAAGGATTTAAAAGTCACGCCAATATTTTTGAAATAATATCCCTCTGTATTGGTAATTTTTTTCAATTTAAATCTCACATGGCATTTATTCTCATTGTTTGTGGCACTTGTGTTTTTTAGAGTCGCCATGAACCCTGAATTAGCAAATACAGAACCACTGCTCCTATGGGAAATATGGGATTAGGTACCTGTGAGCCTCTAGTCATAACATTTTCATTAACTGATCATTTTATGTATTGTTGTTTTATGTGTGTTTTTGCTTAAAGACACCTAATTTAATATATGCTGTTAATTCATTAACATTGTACTCATGGTCAACAGCACTGTAACTCATGCCTGAATGAAGTTTATCTAACACATGTGTTTTTGCAGTAAGGCACACTACAGTTCTCTTGCACTTAGGAACACTAGGTAACACTTACTTAGTATTATGCAGGGGGCCATTCCAAGCAGTAGAATTATCAGCAAAAAGTACAAAATCTTTTTAAAATGTGGCACTAATTAGACTATGAAAAGGACACTTGTTTACAGCAGGAGAGCTAATGCAAGAAGAAAGAGTGACACCTTGTTTGCCCTCAGTTGGGAATGTATATGTTGGGTAACCCCCAAATTTCTCCTCTCTGACAATATCCATGAATGACCATGAAAGCATCATGAAGAATTATTGTTGGGATTACAAATAAATTTTAGTGAATAGGAAAATTTGCAAATATAGAATCCTTGAAACTGAGGATCTGTTTTACTGTGGAATCATGAAGCCCTGTCGTTATAACCAGGAGAGTTTGTGTAGGACACCTTCCTGAATGTCATCAGGACTACTCGTGTACAAGTAGTGGAGTGTTCCTGTCATGCTCGTCTATAGTTATTAATATTGATCTAATCTTTGAGGTACAGCGTTAAGTCCTTGAGAATCAGGATTCACTCTTACTATGGCCTGTCATAATGCTTTAGAGACTCAGAAAACAATTGGTGAATTAAGTTAACTTCTTCTTATGTCCTCATTATACTGATCTCCTGAATGGGCAAATAGGGAGAAACCTTTTAATAGAATTGTTTTGAAAATTCAATGAGATAATTCATGAAGGCACTTGGCAGAGTTTGGTTAAAACTTAATAAATGTTAGCCATTATTTATTCATATTACTCACAATATTTGGTGATGATGATGATGATGATGATACCATTGCTTCCTTTGCTGCGCATGGACTCTGCTCCTCTCCCATAT